GCGTTTTAGCATTAACAGTCTTGGGTCCCGGTGCGTGCATTGGCGGATTGTTACACTTCCTATTGATCTTATATCTATATATTGCATTAAATTGACCATTTCAAAGGGAGGGACGTCTACCTGAACAGCTTCAGATACCGGCAGACGACTTACCGCATCGGCTGTACAGTTGTTAACGCCAGTAATGTTAACCATTTTGTCACTGTAGGCACTCCAGATTACAGCCCATCTCTGCATTCTTGGTGTCCAGGAGAAGATAAGAATTCCCCGAAAAATCCATTATTTCACGGATTAATCGATTGTTATCGGTTCTCGTCCCGATTTCGAAAGTTATGGAATAGTCCAGTGCCTGCACGTGACTAGTGACCTCCTGAAGATCGGTCAAATCTATGTGGAACAACTAAGCTTGGCGGTTGGCCTACCTATTCCAGAAGTCGTAGGTCAGTAAGAGACCTAGAAGTACAGCCAAGGTCTGCTGCAGTTGTACAGCGTTTTGTTGACGGCGGTTAACGCGTTCTTTTGTCAACGTCATTGACGCTCTGCTCTTTCTTTCGGTTGGGCTAGAAGTTTTGTGAAGTAGTAAATTACCTATTTCGGAATCACGTCTAAGTCAAATCAAGACAAGAAAAGCATTAGGCAACCAGATGGACGCATTTTCAGCATTTTACACCATCTACCACAAATGTGATATAAACATCATCTGTATAGATGAGAATGTTACAATTTTAAAATAAAATGAGTAAAGAGTGCACAGATGTCACTTAAGTAAACAGTCCCGAATCTTTGAGCAGCGACTGCATATTGATTGAACGAATTATAAGATTCTCCTTCCAGTTGAGGAGGCCAAGATTTTTTAAAAGATTTATTGATATAGGTAGAAATTCGTCACATATAGACACGCTCTGACAGCCGTCACATGCTCGGCAAAGCACTGTACGGGCGTTGCATCCTTTCGGGAATCGTCAGCAGTGCGCATTCATTCGGACCCTGGTAGGATTCCAGCCCCCAATTCGACTGTTGCCAGTCTGTGGTTGATAACACTGAACTACGGGAGACGGCAAGGACTATGGTAACTAAGTTACCATATGTGATATAGGGCCGCTCACTATCCACTGACTTACCCGTTACTGCCGTGCAGAGGACGGGATAGCCCCCTCACCAAGCGATGAGCTTACCAAACTTAAGCCGCCAATTAACTTATGACATTATAAGCAGTTTGGTCTGCGTACTGATTACAGAAGAGTAGTAGGGGGAGTTGAATGGCATAGGTAGAAATTGGTCACAGCTAGCTTCACTCAGATAGCTCATTTCAACGGGACAAAAACAGCAAACGCGTGTTTTGCGCGGTGTCCCTGATATTTTTTCAAAGAGTCGGTGAGTTGAGCGACCTCAGTGACCTTGCCATTGTCCAGCCAAAGAGTTCGTCAAAGGATGCAAATCAAATTGCTACCTTTTTTGGTTAGATAGCGCAACAATCGCTGTTTTGTGAGAGCGGCAATGACCAAGTTAAAGACCCCGCCTTCTGAGAAAATGATAACAAATGGCGGCGGAAAAAACTGGAAATGTGATGAATTTTTCTGCTGTACAAGTTTAAAAGCTGCTTTTCCAACAACAATCTCAAATGGAGGCACACATGAAAATGATCGAAAAATTGACACAATGCTTGAGTTTGCAGTCAACAGGAGCAGCGACGCGGGACACGCAGGCGAGTTCCGTTGATCTTCTCACGAATGCAACCACTGAATTCAATTATGACGCGGATTCTGGATGCACATCCGAAGCTTGGTTCAAGCGCTGGGAAGATATGTTCCGGACGGACTTTATTCCTCAGGACGACTCCTGGAAGGTTCGGTTGCTACTCCGAAAGCTCAGAACAAGTGAACATTCAAGATTCATAAACCATATTCTGTCCAAACAGCCGAAGGATCTGACGTTTGAAGAAGCGGTGTCGCAGCTGAATGAAATTTTTGGTAACTCAGTATCATTCTTTAGGATTCGCTATCAATGCCTGAAAATTGTCAACCGGGCATCGGACGACTTTGGGGCTCTAGCAGACATGATTAACCTGAGTATGAGCTTTCCAAGCTACCCTCTTTAACGGACGATCAGTTTAAAGGTCTAATTTTTGTCAGCGCTCTACAGTCCCCTAGTGATGTTGCGATCAGCACACGGCTTTTAGCTAAGCTGGATCAGGGTCCCGATCTGACACTGAAGACCCTAGTAGACGAATGCGAACGGCTGCTCACTCCGAGACACGACACTTCCCTGATCGAACAGAATTGCACCACCAGTTACCGTGTACTACGCGAAAATGGCCAGGACTGTCAGTTGAAACAAATAATCCAAGACGTCTACGAACGAACCGCACACAGCATGCTGGTCGTGTGGCAAATGGCATCTTGCACGCTTTTACCCGTTCAAACGTCATATTTGTGAAACGTGTCATAAGCGGGGTCATAAGGAGGAATTCTGCAGTCAGGTCCGGCCAAAGAACGTGAAGAAGTCTTATCAAAAAAGGAATTCTTGAATGGATGGCGCAGAGTCTCTGTCCATAGTTACCGCATTCCACAGTGAGTGTAAGCCGAAACGGCGATTCATCAGCTTGTTGATCAATGGGATTCCAAAGAAACTGCTATTCGACACGGCCTCATACATTACGATTATCCCTAGAAACACATGGGTCGTATAAGGAGGCCAAAGGTGGTCGAGTCACACAAAGTTGCTCACGATGCATCCGGTGGTGTGTTAAAATTGGTGAGCGCACTTACTTGCAAGATTGTGTTTAAAGGTGTGGAAGAGTCGGAAACGTGCTACATTGCAGACCGGCCGAATTTGAATCTTCTTAGTCTCGACTTGATTGCAAATTTGCCACTCCTTGATGTTTCTTTGAATCAGGTCTGCAATCGAGTCCGAGCAAGTCCAGACCCATAATCAAAGTTCTTCGAAGACATGACACGTTTGCTAAAGCGAAAAGTTGCCTCTCTCTTTTAGGACGGCTTGGGCCAGTGTACGAAATTCAAGGCAACGCTGAGCCTGCGACCAGGAGCCAAACCAGGTTTTAAGGCTAAACTACCGGTACCATAAGCAGCTATGTCAACCTTTGATCAAGAACTCGATCGACTGGAACTAGCCGGAGTCATCACAGCCGCCAACTACTCATCATGGGTCGCACCTATTGTCGTAGGGAAGAACAAATGGCAACGTACGCGTCTGCGCTGACTTCTCAACTGGACTTAACGACGCGCTGGAAAACCACCAGTACACATTACCCGTACCGGAAGATATCTTTGCACAACTGAATGGTGGTAAGTGCTTTGCTAAACTTGATCTGTCCGATGCCTACGTACAAGTGGATGTTGTCGAAGACACGAGGGAGTTGTTGACAATCAACACTCATCGTGGGCTATTCCACAACAGCCGCTCGCCCTTTGGTGTGAAAACGGCGATAGCCATTTTCCAACAGTTGATGTATACAATGCTAGCGGGCTTTGCTGGAGCCGCTGCATATCTGGATGATATCATAGTGATGGGTCGAACACTGGAAGAGCTAGTTAACCGGCTGGATGTAGTGCTTGGTTGTATTTAGTGGTACCGCTTCCTGATCCGTGAGAACAAATGCGCATTTTTCACGCCGATCATCAAATATCTTGGCTTTATCCTTGAAAAGTATGGACGTCGACTAGATCCAGAAAACGTAGAAGCCACTAGAAAAATGTCACTGCCAACAGACCAACAATCCTTGAGTTCCTTTTGTGGGCTCATCAGCCGCAACAGCGCATTCTTGCCTGAGATGCACCGCCTGCGTGTCCCGATAAACGAGGTACTAGCCAAACTCCAAACTTGAAAATGGACATCAGAATTCCGGAATACCTTCTAAGTTGTCAAGATGTTGCCGTACTCAAACTTGTTTTTGACTCATTTTGATCCCTCCAAAGCGGTTGTCCGAGCCACAGATGCATCAATCCATGGGATTGGCGCCGTAATTTCACACACCTACTCAGATGGATCTTAGAAAGCAATCGCCCATGCCGCCAGAACATTTACGAAGGCCGAGAGAAATTACAACCAAATCGACAAAGAAGCATTAACTACAGTGTACACAGTCAAGCAATGCAACAAAATGCTGTACGGCCGCAGCTTCAAGCTTCTGACAGATCACAAGCGCTTGCTGGCTATTTTTGGTTCAAAAAAAGGTCATCCCGGCCCACACAGCCAACCGGCTACAACGTTGGGTTCTTACCTTAATGGGGTATATTTGCTAGATCCACTACCAGTCAAAAATTTCCATTAGCCAAGCAGATACACGGTCACGTCTAATTGATGCCCGTCAGCAAGAACATGAGGACACGATTGTTGCCTCTGTCGAGAACGAACCTGACGTCAACTATCTGGTGAGTGACGCATTGCACGATGTGCCAAGTACAGCAGCGGCGATACGGACCGAAACACCGGGACCCAGTACTCAAGCAAGTCACAGAGTTCCACAGAACGAGTTCATCTGTCGAGTTGCAACATTACTACCAGAGGAGACATTCCCTCTCTATTGTGTACGACTGTATACTATTTTCGGAAAGAGTCGTTATCCCCAACGCCCTTCAGGAGCGCGTTATTCGGCAATTTCATGCCGGGCATCCTGGGATCAACCGGATGAAGGCGCTTGCGTGCGGCCATGTAGACTGGCTCTTCATGGACAAACAGCTAGAAGAACTGACTAAACGATGCCAAAAGTGCGCCAATGTTTTAAAAGCGGAGCTCCATTCATGGCCAAAAGCTAATAAACCATGTTGCCGCATCCATGTCCAATTCGCAGGACCGATCAACGGCCGAAATTTCCTCATCATAGTCGACTCATACAGCAAGTGACCTGAAGTATTTCTCACGGATAGCGCAATCACCAATGCCACTGTATCAAGATTGCGCCAAATCTTCAGCAGATTCGGCTGTCCAGAGACAATTGTAACTGACAACGGCACGCAATTCACTTCGGCAACTTTTACGGAGTTCTGCAAGTATTGCGCTGTCCACCACATTCGCTCACCGCCGTTTCACCCACAATCGAATGGCCAGGCAGAAAAGTTTGTCAATACGTTCAACCGATCTCACCAGAAGTCAAAAGGGAAGGGACGTATAGAGGAGGTGATTGACCGGTTCCTTTTCCTCTACCGATTAACACCGAATCCACAAGCGCCGGACGGGGTTTCTCCAGCACAAGCTATGATAAACCGGAAGCTTCACGTGCCTTTCGACGCCATCCGACCGCGCTCAGAGCCCTCTGTTGATGAAAGAAACCGCAGAATGGAACAATATTTTAACCGACGGCATGGAGCAAAGGAACGATCGTTTGAACTTGGACAGACAGTGCTGGTACGCAACTATCGGGAAGGCCACGCGAAATGGACGCCAGGGACGGTCAAAAACAAGCGCGGAAATGTCATGTATGACATGATCGTGGGAACACAGGTATGGGCACGGCATGCAAACCAGCTACGACCAACGCTGTCAACCAGACGAAGCAAAGCCTGTCGATCCCCCGTTCGACTTATTGGTGGAAAGCTTCAACTTGCCAAAGGAACCCGTGGACGACTGCTCACAGTCGAACAAGGAAACCAGACCAGACATCGGAACCCACTTCTCGAGCAGTTCAGCCCAGGAGATGGACCGACAGGCAGAGAACACCGTTCCGAAGACTGCAAGTTAATCCCAGGCTTCCATCATATACCGCGGACGCAATCGCAGGAGGGTAGGTGTCCGAGAGAAGATAAGAATTCCCTGAAAGGCTGGCTTGCCGAACAACCTCCACGTGGTGTCAGCTGGGTGGTTTGGGTTAAGCCCGGTCCAGCTAATGATTCGGCGGCAATGTTCCAGGACGTGGTGGGTTTTCGCCTAGCAAGTGTTCTCCCTATAAAAAGCCACATTTGTCTGCTTAACAACACTGTGATGAACGAACTGACATAATTGGATTTCTTCCTAGACTTTGGAGTGCCATGAATTCATCACAAATCTTCCGATGGGTCTTTTAGAATAAGCGTTTTTAGTTGATGGGTAAGGTTTTCGCTCTGCCTGGCAAGTAGACAGGCTATCTCCCACGTTAGCGAAAAATCATCTTGTGAAAGGATTTTCTTCCGGGTATTCTGGTCTGAAATCCCAGAGATTAGGCACTGGAACAACGGCCACTTCAAACCTAGCTGGATTAATTTCATAGTATTTAAAGTTTGGTACCACCTGGAGTATACGAGCGATGAATTCGCTCACACTTTCGTCTGCTTTCTGGAAGAGTTTGGAGCAGAAGTATCTAGCTGTAAACACACTTTGGCGAACTCCCCAAAAGGGATAAATGAATACGGGGCGCGGATTATAGTAGTGTAGACTTCGACAATACAAAGGGCGTCAAAGTAGCTCCAACCTGCATCCGTAAGGAGCTGTTGTACAACTTGCACATTGTGTTTCTTCGAAAGAGACACTGCCCGGATTCAAGATGGGAAGCAAGTCCAGACAATACAGAAAAGTTTTTCACCATCGATTCCACTTGCCCAAAGATCGTTTTCCCCCCTCCCCCCCCCCCCTTTTTTTCCTTCCCCCCCTTTTTTTTTTCCTTTTATCCCTTTTTTTTTTTTTTTTTTTTCCCTTTTCCCCCTTTTCTCCTTTCCCCCCCCCCCTTCCCTTTTCCCCTTTCAAATAAGGGCACTGTAAGAAGACAGAGGTTGCGATATGTTAACATTTCGATTGCTCTCGTCAGTCGCAACGCAATACAGGCAGAAAAAACACACAATATATAGGGTCCACACTTAGTAACATAGATAAGCAGATAAAAATGATGGGAATGACGTAATCAGGACCAAGGCAATCTAATTGATTGTCTCAGTTGTTTCTGAGCACAGAGTACGGGACACTTCAATCTTATCAGTAGCGCCTCGCCAATTGCCAACAGTGTCGGGTTCCTGTTGCGCAATAGCACCTTGAATGAGTCGATTGGGTTCACCTGGTGACGAGTCAGCAAGAGGTGTTTGGAGATAGACGAGGCAGGGTTCAAATTCATTCTTTGTTTCGCTCCGCCTTGGTTAGACAACAACTGCCTTAGCCACAATGGGAAATGTTCCGCCACCCTTTGAGCTAGCCGGCGACCAGTCTTGCCTATGTAAGTGTCACCGCAACTGCAAGTGAACTGGTAGATGATGTTAGAGGCCGAACTGATTGGCGCGCTGCTCGAACGGATGTGGAGAGGAATCCTTCGTGTGGTGTGAATAAGTCGTAGTTGGGCGGTAGGGTAGGTGCGTATTAGAGCGGACCTGAGCTTGTGACCAACTTCATTTGCTAAGTGATCCCCCTTGAAGGGTAAGAACAGATAAACATTCTTCTTCTCCGCAGTTTGCACGGGGAGCTTCTCCTTGGGGGTCTGCTATGGGTCTGAGTGAGAAATTCATTCAGACCCATAGCAGACCCCCAAGGAGAAGCTCCCCGTGCAAACTGCGGAGAAGAAGAATGTTTATCTGTTCTTACCCTTCAAGGGGGATCACTTAGCAAATGAAGTTGGTCACAAGCTCAGGTCCGCTCTAATACGCACCTACCCTACCGCCCAACTACGACTTATTCACACCACACGAAGGATTCCTCTCCACATCCGTTCGAGCAGCGCGCCAATCAGTTCGGCCTCTAACATCATCTACCAGTTCACTTGCAGTTGCGGTGACACTTACATAGGCAAGACTGGTCGCCGGCTAGCTCAAAGGGTGGCGGAACATTTCCCATTGTGGCTAAGGCAGTTGTTGTCTAACCAAGGCGGAGCGAAACAAAGAATGAATTTGAACCCTGCCTCGTCTATCTCCAAACACCTCTTGCTGACTCGTCACCAGGTGAACCCAATCGACTCATTCAAGGTGCTATTGCGCAACAGGAACCCGACACTGTTGGCAATTGGCGAGGCGCTACTGATAAGATTGAAGTGTCCCGTACTCTGTGCTCAGAAACAACTGAGACAATCAATTAGATTGCCTTGGTCCTGATTACGTCATTCCCATCATTTTTATCTGCTTATCTATGTTACTAAGTGTGGACCCTATATATTGTGTGTTTTTTCTGCCTGTATTGCGTTGCGACTGACGAGAGCAATCGAAATGTTAACATATCGCAACCTCTGTCTTCTTACTGCGTTAATGAAGTGGCTGAAGGGGACTCAGTGTTTCAAGTTTCTTAAAAGAAGACTCCCCGCTGACGTTGTGAGGTCATTGGATCGATTGTTGTCGTTGCGCTGCAAGATCATGGTGGAACGCGTAAGGGTTAAATTTTATCAAGAATGTATCCAGTCAGGTCGATTTCCATTTCGGTTTGTTAAAACTCTGTCGAAAAATAAGCTGCCCGCTAACAGTGTGAATCTAGCCAGGATTGCGTCCGCACATATCGAGGCTTGCATTGAACGAGAACATAAGTTCCTGGAGACACAAAAGCGATTCGCCGTTGTTTTGAATGGCTTGTCACTTGTCTGCCGTTTCAAATTTGAGGCATTTTCTGCTGAAACTCTCCAGCGTACTAGGACCAAGACCCTGCGCGGCCTTCAAGGTACCCTTGTGAGAGCGGCCAACATTCCTTTCCCTACCGAGGGCCAGAAGCATGTGTACAATCTGTCTACAGCTCGGTTCACGCGAGAACAGTTGGAGGTTCTTTCGCTGGGATTGAAATACCGAATACCGCCGAGGAATGTGGACAGGATCCACACACAGATTAATTTCGAATATCTGTACGATCAACTCAGCGACCTATCGCCGAAATCAACGGATGATGCAGGATGGTTTCGGGCAAAATTAGTGGATATCGCGCACCAGTTCCAGAACGCGTCTATTAGTCAGAGGTGTTGCTTGAAATCGGAACACTATGTTGCAATCAAGGAGCTGCAGAAAATGGAAGATGTAATTTTCCTGCAACCGGATAAAGGCACGGGTGTAGTAATAATGGACAAAGCGGATTACACCGCAAAAATGGAGTCGATTCTCGGAGATGGACGCAAGTTTCGTATTGACAAGACGCTGGACAACAATATCTTGGTGGAGAAACAAATTACGAGACATCTACAAATTCTTTTGCTTCATGGGTATATCTCCGAGTCACAATATCGCCAGCTAAAACCGACAGGGACAGAAACACCAAGAATGAGGGGCGCGCCGAAGCTGCACAAGACGGGAATTCCACTACGCCCAATTATGTGTATGAATAACTCACCCTACCACAAATTAGCCCGGTGGTTGGCAAAGCTCCTAGAACCCGTGCGTAAGCTCCTGGGCACGCATTGTTTGAAAGACTCCTTTGAATTGGTGAATATACTGGAGCGAACGACACTTGACGCGGAGCTCATGTATTCAATAGACGTGGAATCACTGTTCACGAATGTGCCCCTGCGTGAAACGGTTGAGGACCTATGCCAATTCCTTTTGAGTCGGAACCTCTCTGTGGGCATCCCTCTAGAGTTCCTGAGAGACTTGATATTGGTGTGTACTGAGAATGTGCGATTTGAGTTTGAAGGGACGGCATACAAACAGATTGACGGCGTCGCTATGGGCAGTCCTTTGGGACCAGTTCTGGCAGACATCTTCCTAGGTCTGATTGAAAGGAAAGTTGCTACCTGCATAGGTGAAGCCAAGCTGTACAAGCGTTACGTAGATGACATTCTCGTCTTCACTGATGGTGAACATTTTGATCGTCTTGCCGCACTCCTGAACTCAATTCACCCGAACCTTTCTGTATCACGGGAGAAGGAACAAGAAGACAGACTGCCGTTTCTTGACGTGCTCATCAAGAGAAGGACCGATGGCACATTGCAGCGCACGGTGTACAGAAAAGCGACCTGGGGTGGACAATACCTACATTTTTCCAGCTTCGCCCCAGTTGCATACAAGCGCGGCCTTGTAAAAACTCTCTTCTACAGGGCCAGGCGGATATGCAGTCCGGAATTACTCAAGGCTGAAGAAGAGTTTTTATACCGGACTTTGCTAGCTAATGGGTATCCGGAGAAATTCATTCAGACCCATAGCAGACCCCCCAAGGAGAAGCTCCCCGTGCAAACTGCGGAGAAGAAGAATGTTTATCTGTTCTTACCCTTCAAGGGGGATCACTTAGCAAATGAAGTTGGTCACAAGCTCAGGTCCGCTCTAATACGCACCTACCCTACCGCCCAACTACGACTTATTCACACCACACGAAGGATTCCTCTCCACATCCGTTCGAGCAGCGCGCCAATCAGTTCGGCCTCTAACATCATCTACCAGTTCACTTGCAGTTGCGGTGACACTTACATAGGCAAGACTGGTCGCCGGCTAGCTCAAAGGGTGGCGGAACATTTCCCATTGTGGCTAAGGCAGTTGTTGTCTAACCAAGGCGGAGCGAAACATAGAATGAATTTGAACCCTGCCTCGTC